TACAAGCGTGCTAAGGTTCAGTCATAGGTGTTCCATGTGTGTTGGACTGCATAGGTGTTGGACTTTGAACTCACACACACAGGTGTTCCATGTATCCGGTTTATAACGCGATGCAAGCCGAGTTTAGAATCCACAGCTCATGAACACCATGAGTTCAGTCGCCATGGCTGCTATCGCTGCTGCTGCTACTACTTGCATTGTCATCATCCTCCATTGGCAATGCAAACCAGCGTGCCTGAAAATGTTGGAGTCCCCGAGAGCACGAATAGAAGGCACCCTACGAAGTTGTAGAACTCCACCTTGCCCAGTTTGCGCTTATCGAGTTCAGCACACGCCTTCTCTATCTTCTTTGCTGTGACCTTCTCCCCGAGATCCGCTAGGAGATTCTTCAACTGACTAACTCTGATCCTCCCAGACCCTTCCACGTCATGCCTGTCGAATTTCTGAGCGGAAGAACCAGAGCACAGCAGCTTCCACACGAAAGCCCTCACCTGCCTCAGGCGATATAAATCATGCAAACTAATCCTTATCGCATGCAGTTTGTCAGCGAGCTGAGCTCGATCCAACTTATACCTATTTCACAACGGCATCACTCCGAATACTGGACATCCAATGCTGCCCACTTCGACTTAAAGATCTTCTCAATGTTCTTGGGGGTGATCCCTTCACCTAAGGAATGCATAACTCTCACATGACTCTGTAAGCGATCAGCAGCTCACGTTCCTTCTTGGTGAAGAAAGGTCGGAGCTTTTTCGCCGGTGCGCTCTGATTTAGTGAGGAAAGAAATCACGACTCAAATAGTGCATCGGCAAACCTTTGATGACAATGAATATAAAACTCACCTCTTCCAGCGAATTCATATCAGTAGATGCAATTGGAGCAACGAATTCATCGTAGCTGAAATGAACAGCATGCCATGTTAGACGAAATGCGGTATGCATGACCAAACTCGCGATAGTCTACCCGAGGGAGCGACCCGTGGCGGAGTCAACAGAAACCCTTGGTGGCGCGAGGGTTACTCTCTTTGCTTTTCTCCGAAGACCTGCAACAAAAAAACCAACTCCAACGTAAATTCAAGAGAGTCGTAGAACACAAGTGTCTAGCCCCACACGTTGAGACTAGCAGCTACTATCAATGCTGGACGCTGGAAAACGTATCGAGCTGTACACTCACGTCTCTTCTCAATGGAGGCCTTCGCTCTCATCTTCAACTCCGCCAAGGTGCATGGTCGATCGAGCTTGGCGAAGTGTTCTTCGTCACTAGACGAGCAATCCGATCGTATCGTACCTACAGAATCGTCATCATCCGTTGAGTTGCCTACCATCCTGCGATCAACTCATGCTGAACTATATCGGAGGTTACTAATCGTCGCGCACTCATCACTCT